AAATTTAAACATAGCGAAATAAGCTTCGAAAAAGGATTTGAAGAAAATGTTACCAAAAGTGTGTAGGATGAATCATAAAAATTTCGTATTTGCGCTCTTGAAAACTATCCAAAACAAGCTGGGCGCAATTCTGGACGTATTTTGCGACTATTTAACTGCAACGATAGGGTGTTTTTTGCTATTGCGGGATGCGCAAAAGCCAAAATTTCTACTTACTTTAGTAAGCCCAATCAGAGTTTGCCCGTTAACCTTAAAAAACGTCAAAGAATCACCCTAAAGAAAACAAGTTAAAGTTGAACCCTAACCCTAACATCCACCCTGCGAAAAAGCCACAACCTTGACACCCTCCCTAAGCGAAATGCTAAGCCTATTTCTTCTGCTTTCAGAACTTTGAAGATCGACAAAATTCGTAACCCCAGAGACATTTTGGAGTCGCGGGACGCTGATCTCGCGCCCCGAGAGCCCAACGTCATCAAAAATAGCAAAAAATGAGAAAAACGTGGAAAAATGGACAAAACCCGCGAAATCCGATCCCTAAACCCGTATCCCGCATCCTGTCCCGAAAGACAATGATGATCCCGTGACCCTAACCCGCGTCCCCTAACCCTAGCTCGCATCGCGCGCCCAAAATCCCCAAAACAGCAAAGTTAAGGCTCATTCCGCAACCCGAACCCGTATCCCGCGACCCTGACCCGCGACCAAGCCGCGGCTAACCAGCGGTCATAGGGTTAGCTTCGAGTCAAGTTTGCTTGCGGTTAGGGTCAAGGGTTAGTTGGGAAAACTGCTTCTGTGACAGCCTTTTGGCCGTCGATCCCATGTATCCAGCCCAGAGTCCAGTCCGGGTCCGGAACGGCGAAAAAAAACATGGCGGCCGCTACACTTTGCCCGGTTTTTCCCTGTCAGCGCAGCGCCCTTCGCTCTAAGTAAAGCACTGTGCGACTTGACTTCTACAATCCTTTCATCGTCGCAAACGCTACAACAACCCTCTAAGTCAACAGAAGATCGCGCGTGCCTGCACTTCTAGTTGTCCTAAGATCGATGGTCACTTTGTTGGCCAGCTCGCTCAAATTGAATCGACGCTTGCCTGGGCCAAGCGAGTCCCAAAAATCGGGTCAAACGAGGCTTTCTCCTTCCTGTCCTACTTGCCTCGGGCTTGCTGTCATGCAGCGGCTGACGGCAAGCCCCGAAATACGGCCTTCTGTCACCTCATGAATTATTCATGAGCCACCGAATATTTTTCGACAGTGAAACCCCGGCCCCCCAAAAGCCAGCAAATATTATAAGTCTAAAAGCAGGTCGCTTCTCGGCAACTACGTCAAGCCAGCAGGCAAGGGCAGGCCGCAAAACTCACGCTGACATAGTTCTCGACAAGAAACCTGCCTTAGACTTGCCGCCTGGATCGATCTGAACTTGATGCACAACCTTCACTACGAGCGCTCAAACAGCGCTGTTGTGCTTTACAAGGCTCAGAACATCCCTCAGTTCTTCGAGGGATGCTGTTGACTTGCGGGTTTCCGGACTTAATGATGTCCTTCCACCACCAGGCGGCGCAAACTTTGCTCCAA